TTTACTCGCGTATCAGTGATCTCGCGCTCACGAAACGAGAGTTTAAATGAAACGCTAAACTGCTTCACGACATTACTGTGTGTTGTATTTACAAATACCACAAAAATATGCCTACCGAAGTGAGTTGCTACACCACATCATTCCAAAACCTCACACATTCAGATGCGGGCTATCGAGCATGTGTTTTTGATGATGATTTCGTCATCGGTTTGACGACGACGACAACGACATTGTTATTGCTGTTGCTGCTGCTGTTGTTATTGTCGCCGTTGCCATCACTTTCTCATTACGACTGTGTACATGGACCTTTTCGTGATAATTTATGTTACTTGTACTTGATATTTGGGCTATTTAAACGCCTTGTTTGGTCTCATTCACTTTCCATGTGATTTTTTCGTTCTTCTGTGGCATTCGTTTCTATTTACTCGAAAGCGAGAGATAAAGATAGCGAGTGAATGAAAAAAATTTCAAACTTTATTCGGCGCATCATCAATTATGCTAGAAAAATGCATTTGTATTCGTTTAATCGTTTGTCACAATATATGTCAAATCTATGACACAATGATATAAATTATATTTCGAATATGTTTACTTTGTTGCTGCTGTTGTTGTTGTTGTTGTTGTTGTTGTTGTTTTTGTTGTTGTTTTTTCTTCTTCATTTCAACTGTTTGGGCAATCATGCTTACGTCGAAATTCTGGTTTTCATTGATGTCGGGTTTGTTTGCCCAACGCGATTGCTAATGAATGAAACCAATGATCGTTTTAAATAGCTCAAGTGTTGGAACGGAAATGCTGATATGGATTTCGTGTGAAATAGTGGCGGTAGATACTACAAATCACGATGAATGAACAAAAAGAAAAAAAACAGCACACGATTGTAAAAAAGCAACAGAAATATTTTATATAAAGAACGAGATTAGAAACCGGGCATTCCGAAATTAAACGTAAAAACGGGTAGAAGAGTGCGTCAAGCAAGTAGCCAAAGATTAAATCAAAAACACATACTTCCAATCGTATGCAATTTGCAGCGTTTGACATATACCAAGTTTATACGGCCACTTACACCCGAGAATTTCGACGAAATTTGCATACGGCTCATTTCGGATATCTCAAAAATGAAACAACAACGAAAAAAGAAAAAAAAACGAACAGGAAAACGTATAGCCTGTTTATGTTGTTTTTTTTTTCTACGATAAATCATAAACTCTGTATGGCGAATCGTTTTGGCCGCGTAAAATATGGCGCAGGAAGTAATTACGTGATCAAATTGGTACGTCGCGGCAATACAAAATTAGAAGTAAATATGAATCATATCATGTTCGCCTATCGTATGTCGCACCCGTTCACAATCATATGTAACACAAACTGGCTTCAATACATACACATGAAATGGCATTTACCATCGAAGACCGACACCGCCCGGGTGTGCACACCATCGATTCAGTAGAAACATTTCCAACATGTCTATTAGCTTAGTATTTAGTCATTGTGATGATTTTTCTAAGCAAATAGAATGAAAGCGAAGAGAAAATAAAATTAAAACGGAAAAATGTGTGAGCAGAAAAACAAATAAACTATTAAAGTAATACTAACAAAGGGCCGTACAAAAGAATGGAATGAAGCAATTGAATATAAAAAAAATCATCCACATACAGAGTGAGAGATAGTATTTACTTAATTGAATATTTTCATCGCAAATCGACACATATATCACATAACTTCCATGAAAATAAATTGGTCATACAGTCATTTCATCCATGCATTGAATATTGCTCAAATTTCATTGAACTGCGATCATTTTTGAGTGACGTGAAATTTAACCGATTTTCCTCCATATGCACTGAAATTTGAGCGAGCAAATAGACAAAGAGAGATAAATTTGGGCTTTGTCGTACCAAAAAAAAATGTGTTATAATTTTAACGTTATACAGAATAAATATGGGTTTTTTGTGCGGTGTGAATACGGTACATTTGTTTGTGTGTGAGTGTGTGTTTTGTATCGAGTGTTGTTTTTTCGTTTCGTGTGTCTCATCTCAATTCGTACATTGGCGTGTGAATTTGTCATCATGTAGCTGATTTTCCCGTCGACAAATTAGTCGTGATTGCTGATGACGGGCAGTAGAGCGGTCCAAAAAAAAAGTTGTCCCTCATCCGGAATGTCCAGCCAGTTTCGAAAAATATACCTCAAAAAAATAGGTTTTGTCCAAAAAAACGATATGGGTACCATATAAAATCAGGAGGCAATTAGGCCTTTTAGGGATGGTGTCTTGGTGCAATGTTATTTTTTCTCGAAAATATGGGGAGTCTACCCAGACAAAAACTCTCAAAATTGAGGTACCTACCGAACAAATGTTACGTTTTTCATGGATTTTACTATGAAAATATCAATTTTTGTTGGGAAGGTACCCCAAAAATACACTTTTTGAATGAGTTTCTTAGTACAAAGTTATTTTTTTCGAGAAATATTGGGAATCTACTCACACAGAATCTCTTATGAATGATTTTTGGGGTACCTCCCGAACAAAAATTGATATTTTCATAGTAAAATGCATGAAAAACGTATATTTTGTTCGGGAGGTACCTTAAAAAGTTAATTTTGAGAGTTTTTTTCTGGGTAGACTCCCCATATTTTCGAGAAAAAATAACATTGCACCAAGATAACATCCCTAAAAAGCCTATACTTAAGGATTTTTTGGTCAAAAGTCGATTTTTTGGGAGTTGAAATCGAATATGAGGCCAGAAATATGTGAAAACATCACTCGATTTAATCATGTAAGTACCCAAAATGTTCGCAAAGGACCATACTAGATGTTCAAAGGCAGAAGAGGTAGAAATCATTTGCTTTTACCTGTCAAACCGAAGCTCATGTTTGTGATTTGCTCATTTTGGCCAGAAATTTTTCTTATATGTGTGAATCAATTGTCGCCAAATTCCATCCAAATCGCAATCTGACAAGTACCAAAATTTTTAAACAGGTTTTGGCTACACGACACAAGTCCAAAACTGAACAAAAGTCCACCGCCTGGGTGGCCAGTAGAGCGAAAAATGCAAAAAATGCCGAAAAATTGCCATTTTTCCGGTCATTTTATACTGTAACTGGTCCAGAAGGCCTTTTCAAGGGCTGATGTCTTGGTAAAAGTTGTAGATATTGACAAGCCAAACAAAACCCCATCAACACTTTTTGCCGAAATTAGGTAAGAATAATGGAATCGGTCTAAATGTTGCGATCTAAAATGGCTTCCGAAATCGCTGTCATGAAAAACTTCATATGGGGCTTGCCTCCTGATTTTATATGGTACCCATATCGTTTTTTTGGACAAAACCTATTTTTTTGAGGTATATTTTTCGAAACTGGCTGGACATTCCGGATGAGGGACAACTTTTTTTTTGGACCGCTCTAATGGGCAGTAACAGTGCCCGAAATGCATTCAGGTTAGAATTAAATTTATTATCAATAATTTAATCCGGCTCTTGTAGTGTCAATAAGGTTAAAAAAATTCGGCATTCAATAGAGTGTATCCAAGTGAATGTGAATAGAAAATTGGATGCAATCATTTTGAAAATTGTATTTTTTTTTGGATCACATTCTCCCATTTTTCTTTCTGAAGCCATTGACTAGTGAAATGTAGACGAATACAGAAATTCGGGCCAATCGGCATGAAAAGTGATGCAATTCGTTCGATTCGTTTTGCTTATTAATACCAAGAAAAAATGTATGTGGTTGCACATAATACACTCGCACCTGTTTATATACGCCACCTACTCATGCATCGTCAGCCATGCGACTCATAAACTAACTCACGCAATGTGTGTTGACGATCGACTCTTGTTCATTAACAAGTAATGGAAAGGTAATCTATGTACGATGGATGATGATAGAAAACATCAGGGGATGCATCCGAATGACAATGAAACAAACAAAAAAGCCACTTAGAATTGAAAGTACAACGAGAAAAAGATAATTGAATGAAAAACAGGAACGGTAATAGTAATGTGTGATGCACATTAGGTCTTGAAATGGTTTTAAATACGTATACATAAGGCGCATATTGAGCATTCATATTCACAACAATCAGAAGAAGCAAGCAATAAACGACAGAAATAGTTATCATGTTATGACAATGACAAAATGAAAACAAAGGGTAAAAATGCGACTGGTTGTATGTAAGTTCACGCGAAACGAGAACTCTTCTATGACACCGTCGCCGTTACATTTGTATTTCTTTCCATATCGAAACAGATTTCTATGAAACCAAAAGAAAAAAACACATCGAGACACAACTTGGTGAAATAGCTCTTGTGTTTGACATATATGTTTTCCTCTTCATGTAGTATTTACTTTTTCATTCCGATCTATTGTTTCTTTTCGCCAGACACACCAACGATGGCACCACAATGGTAAAAAATAACAACAACGGAAAGAATGCGCGGTAAACAAACTCGTTGAACATGCATATTTTGACGAGATAAGAAACGTAAAAGTCATAAATAGAAGAATGCCGGCGCTTAGAAAGCCCAAAAGTGCTGAAAGAGGGACTATCGCGTTGTTTGCTTCGCGTTTTTATTGCTCTTCCATTTGTGTTTTCTTCATTCAGTTTGTTTTTGTTTTTATTGCACCAAAAACCCAAAAACAAAGAAACGCATAGAAGGACAGAGCGAGAGAGAGAGCGTGGAATAGAATGAGAAAGGGCAAATTGAGTATGCTTACTCGACTAAACTGTTGAATGGATAGGACTCATCTGCTTAATGTGGCCACTTTGGCTTTTCAATGCGATCGCGTGGCAGATGTTTGCAATTTACTGCAGGCACTTGCGTTTGTTATTCCATTTTATTTTATTTTACTGTTCATTATAAAAAAACCTCCTCATGTCATTTAAGCCGCTTCAATTTTATCAAAATCCCAAGGAATCGGATTAAATGTCATTCGCAATACTAATTCGAAATGAATCTCGGATAAAGGGATACTATGTGTGTACAATATGCATGTATAGTATACTTACTTCCGTTTTCCGTCATACTTAGATTTGTGTTGGCCGGTGTGTCGTCTGCCATGATCACTGCATTTCTTACACCGAATACCATGAATGCGACACATATTAAGAGCACGTGTGAAAAATTCATTGTAGACGATATTGCATATGGCCATCGATGATTGACATAAGCGTTTTTTCTCGGATGATTATTCGAATAATTAGCACAAAATGTTCTAACACTACGACTTGAACCATATGGATCAATGCCATACACGATACATCGATTTAAATCACTACTGTTAGCTAAACGATCTGTATGATTTGTTTGTTGACTTAAACTATTTGGATTTTCGTGTGTTTTTTCATGCACGTTTAAATTTAAATTACTATTCTTTTGAACCGAATGCTTCGGCTCTGGATTTTGCGTTTGCTGTGCATTTGTGTCACTACTGCTGTGTGCACCTGCACATCGACAATGGATGCACGGTCGTAATGTTGACGATGATGGCAAGCAATGCGACCGCTTCATTGCCGTTGTTTCATCTAACGATAGCGTCACCTGCTGCTCCTGCTTCTGCTGCATATCAATGTTTCGCACCGTTTGTGGTGTACGAACATCAACCAAAGCACCATTAAAAAATGATGTGCCAACATCATCATTCGTTAAAATGTTCATTTTTCTAGATTCCGCTACAAACACTGATGAACCACCGTTCTGAACCGATTCTTCGCCGTGAATCGACTGCGTTTGGGTCACCAGACTTTTATTATTGCATTGCAAAGATTGATCGTTGTTGTGATGGGCCATAACATTCAATAGATTTAACGTATTTTCATTCGTGGCATTGCGATTTTCATTTTGCTCATTTTCGTTGTGCGATAAATCACGAATTTGATTCAGTTTTTTGCGTGCAATCGTTAGCAGCAGCCAGATGGACTTGTGGAAATTGGTCGAATCAAGATGTTCCCTACTTTGCTGATGCTGCTGCGTATCCAAATGATGTTTCGCGCAATGTCTGCATAAGTTTGGAAGCATCTCGATTGTAAACATATGCATCTCATCAAATAATCTTACACGAATCGATATCTGGCGAACATTTCGGGATCAATTTTGTTAACATTTGCAAATGACTAACATGGTCCAATCAATATAACACACAAATACCTCCCCGTAGATCAATGGACAATGAACTCTCACCACGATGTTAGACACCTAGAAAAGAGAATAAAAGCAAATTAGTTTGGCTTTTTTTTCGAAATGCAGAGTTTAATTCGATTGTTTTAAAATATTCTCAGAAACTGGGATAAATTTCTGACGTACTTTGGACTCATTTTAGTAGAACACAACATCCTTCACTGAATGATCCGAACAAAGTGCAGGATGATTGTTTACGTATGCTTCTTTTATACCTTTTGCAAATTGATTATTAAAATGCGAATTTACAAGATAAGCATAGGCGTTGAGCTCTTATTTTCAGAATAATAATCTCACTTATAACAACAATCATAACCAACGCTCAATTTCAACAACCAACCATAACAAAAAATATAGACAATGCTCTTTCGAGTTGTTTTGATTTGAATTATGTAGAAGAAAATTGCTAGGCGTTGATTCGTTCAAATGATTTTTTCCGTGAAATTTCCTCCGCAGAATTTCCCACTCAGATATGTAATAATTGAACCATTTGGATATCATCCGACGCATAATTTCCCCATTTCAACAACAAATCATAACAAAATAATAAGAAAAGTAACCAATAAAAAATTGTTTATGAAATTCTGGAGCTTTTTAATGTCCTTGTGTAAATACATATTTTAATGAGCTTAATAATAATATGGGATTACTTTTATCTACGTAGGTTGCTGCTTAAGTTTCTGGCCTAACCTAGTTCTAGTGTTTTCCGAAGCAAAACTTTGGGTCAGTCAAAAAGTTTGACCTTTTTTAAGCTAAGTTTCCTCAGACGTCAACTGTTGATTCACTACGGATCGTGGTGTTTTATGAGCTTGAATATTTCAATTTGATGAAAAAATTGAATTTTTCCGCAAACATTTTAGTGCAATGATTTTTTCCGATTTTTGAGAGGGACTAACTCAACAAGAGTGCCGTGATAGCCTCAAATTCGCTTTGGGTGATAAAACTCGGTCCATTCCAAGTATTTAGAGGTGATATAACGATTTTAAATGTTGACGAAGCTCACTCAAAAATGAGTCCGCAGGAAAGTCGTAAAATATCAGCTGTAACGCCGGAACACATTGATGCTGTGCGAAACCTAAAGGTGGAATATTCTCATACGACTTATAGTGAGATTGGGGCATCCTTTGGCATTAGTATGACATGCATGAGGTCAATATTACATGTGGTTTTAGTGACGTAAATGCCTTTCACATGTCAAAACCTCCAAATATGTTTTCAACCAAAAAAAAGAGTTTTGGACAAAAATAGGCCTACAAACTCTCAATAATGCAATTTTGATAGGCTGAAAAACCCTCAATCGTCACTAGAGATTACAAAATTATTATTTATGAGTATAGCATGTCATCCCAGAAGGTTTTAGTGATAGTATCGTGTTTGAAAATAACAGAAAATTTTCCTTATTTCTGAAAAAACAGACGATTTTCGCAAATTGCAATGCTTCGTTCTGGGAAAAAATGATTTACATGACTGTTATTATACTTTGGAATTGTAGTGCCATGAATTCTGAATAAAGCGGACATTTTTGGAATGAAAATATTCAGAAAATGGGCCAAAAACTGGGAACTATCTGTCACTTCATGAATTTTCACCTTTTGACATGCCTTCATTCAATCGAATATTTGCAGGCCCAAAATATAAAATAATGGTTTCGTTAGCCAGAAATTATTAAATTGAGGATAAACGAAGTTTTTTAGGTGGTTAACAACAGAATAATCAATTTTTCCCATATCGAAAAATGAAGTTTATTGTTGAAATTTACGATTTTTCCAGGTATCCCTTGGAAAGGAGGCTTAGACACACCCAGTAATGTAAAACAATCCCTGCTATAGTGTTTTTTAGCCTAAAAAATGTCAAAATTTCCGATGGAATCGTCAGATTGCATCTGAAAACACTAGAAATAGGTTAGGCCAGAAACTTATGCAGCAACCCTCGTATGAATTTAAGAAGGTTCTATGCGGATTTGTTGTGATCAACCGACTTAAAACGTATGCATAAGGTAGACATGGATTCTCGAAAAATTGTAATACAAAATTTCATATTTGTTCTATTCTGGAGCATAATTTATATTATGTATACTCAAACAGAATCTAAATAGAAAATTGTTTGAATTCCAATTAGATGGCAATCGAAATCATTCAATAGCTTGGAGCTACACTTGGCGAAATAGTGTTGAAAAGATTGAATTTAAAAACAAATACAAAACAAAAATTTCATTGTGGATGATTGGAAACTGGACCATGTGTACATTTGAAATTCTTTGCGATTATGGTGTGCAGGACCGTGGTATGAGGTAAATGAACGGCATTCACGTGTGCGATAAAATCGGTATTGGGTGGTCTGCATTCATAGTGCCAGTAGCCATTTCATTTGAACTTTCAATTCGGTTTTATTCAACATGTAAAATTTTCCATAATTTTGAACAGTATATATGGGTTTGGATACAAAAGAAACCATAAATATTTATATGTACCTTCTTCGCTCCGAATTGCTGTGCATTGCTTTATTTTCGAGTACACAGTTGGTAATGAAAAGTTCACTCATTCAAATGAATAGTGTGACAATGGTGTGACAACACTTGGTACGTATGATAAATCCACACGTGAATTCGAACCAGGCGGCAAGTTGAAATCGGCGAGATGCCGAGCATTGACCGCTTTTATTCACTGTTCCATAGCGTGAGGAAAAAAAGGAAAACAATTCAAAAGAATTTCCAAAAACAACTTGCCGGCCAACAAGACACACTTCTTGGCTTCACGGTTTGCTTATATTTATTTACATAAATAACTCCGAACATTTTTCAACAAATGGAAGAAGAATAACGAGCACACCAGCATACACACACACACACATACAAAAACCAACCGATTGTTTGCACTGCTATGTATCTTAATGGAAAATAAAATACCAATCATATCCAAATACATATGCATGTAACTTGTTTTTCTTTTTTCCTCGTTCAACGTTATTATTCAGCTAGTGATGCTATGCTGGTGCTGCTTTTCTTCTTCATTTCCTCATATTTACACTTTTAATTAATATGTCTCTCTCGTGTTTACACATGAAATTACGACAACGTATACCAAACTGGATGTACGTGAATTGTCACAAGAAAAATGCAATACACGTGTTTATGTGTGCTGATGGCATACATAAAATACGGATGATAATCCGAAAATGAAGCACACAATAATCGTAAAAGTGAATTTATACACTCTACACTATATTTTCAGAAGTTTAAGTAATTAGTATGATGCGTAATGCATTGGCTACAGTTGAGCTGATGTCGGAATATCGCCGCATCTTTTTATGTCAATTACCTCGAACCAGTGATTCGGAATCACCATAATGCGCGCTAACAACATGCGTTCAAGTGGAAAATCCATTGCAAAAATATACGGTTTATTTAGAAGAAAAAAATGGCATTCTTCGATCCATAAAAGATTTCCAAGAAATTGCGCGGAAAATATTTTTCAGACAGCCGTTTTATGGGGATTAGTTTAGTAATGTCAAGTGGCTATGAACAAGAAATTATCTTGTGTGAGTCAATCCATGATCCCAAATCGATGCGAAACATTCATTCTGTTTGATTGTCAAATGCGATAAAAAATATATGCGATGTGATTCATTGAATTTCTTTGATAGTTTCATTCAAATGAATGTATGAATGTGGTAAGCTGTGATTCATCCATTTTCAACTGAATTTCAACAGCTCACTGTCGAAAACTGCACCGTTTCTTATTTTAACTAGGGACCAAAGCAATCATTTTACTGGCCGGATATTCATCGCATTGTTGTAAGTCATTTGAAATAACTTTTCGTGTGATCGACTTGTGAAATGTGTGCACTATGTGTTCCAATAAATTGCATCGTAATAATGGTTTGACAGGGATAGAAATGATAAAAATGTACATAAAAAAGTACTGGTATGAAAAAATCATATCAACATGAATGGCGCTTAAGATTATAAATAAATATGAATGACGTGACGGCATGATCGTAAGTTGGCTCGAGGATCAATTCCAGGCATGCTCGAACGTAGTAAACACTCATATGAACGACAGACGACGTTTCGGAGTCATCCACGACTTGCGCGACGACTCGCGCCACGATCGTAGCATCGTTTTGGTTCGTTGTACATTCGTTCAATGTACTGTATATGCATACGACGCAAGCGACTTGAATTCGTAGAACCGAACGCGGTGCACGCCGTATAAGTCGTGTATACAGTCGTCGTTGTCGTCGTCGTCGTTCGGTTCTACGAATTCAAGTCGCTTGCGTCGTATGCATATACAGTACATTGAACGAATGTACAACGAACCAAAACGATGCTACGATCGTGGCGCGAGTCGTCGCGCAAGTCGTGGATGACTCCGAAACGTCGTCTGTCGTTCATATGAGCAGTGATGGTTTTTCGTTATCCAGCATTGTCTTAGCCTTGGCTTACACCAACAACTGGTGTAAGCCAATCGTTAGCCAGCTATCTGTGTGAAATGAGTATATTCAAAGTATAATCATTTTTGATTTGAGTATTCTGATTCAAATCATACAAATTAAAAAATATATATATTTCAATTAATTTTCAATTTAAAAGTCATTTTTATAATTTGAGTTATTATTTTTTCAAAAACTTAATAAAAAAATGTCGATGTTTGGTTTCATTTAAACTCTGACCTGGTGATTTAAATGTCAGTCACAAACGTCAGTTCAGATGAGTGTGTTCAGTTCTTACTGAAGTTTTCTAATTGGTCTACACATTCGTTAGCCAGTATACACTTATGCGGCTAATTAGCCACCTAATTGGCTCTTCACTGGTCGTAAATATGATACGCATCTCGTACTCAAACTTTGTCACTTGAACACATTTTTTTCCCACACGCTCTCTGAACTCCCAGGCATGCATATGAATGTTAAATTGACACGACAAGCTTACTGATAACACACTTCGTTCCACGCATTCATGTTGATCTATGAAAAATAAATAAACCTATTTTGATTTGTGTTTTCATGCTTTTTTTTCT